TATATATTTAGTATCTTTAGTATATAGTATCTTAAGTTCTCTAAGTGGCTTTAAGAATCTGTTGGACTCAATTCAATTCAGTTTATTTCTATAGCGCCAAATCACAACAAAGTTGTCTCAGAGCACTTTACAGAAACATTCACATACAAAGTACATAAAAGCCAATTATAAAGTTCTCTATCTAAGGAATCCAGCAGACAAGATGAATCTTTGCTTCGTTGCAGTCTCCCATCCTGAACAAGCACAGTGGCAACAGTGGAAAGGAAAAACTCTCTTTTAAAAGGAAGAAACCTCCAGCAGAACCAGGCTCAGGACAAGCGGCCATCTGCTTTGACCGGCTGGTTGAGAGGACAGGAAGGAGAGACAAACGAACACAGAATGGTAGGACCAGGTGTATATGAAAGACAAAAAAAAAAAAAAAAACATGTTAAGGATAGAAAAAATAATTACAAATACAAAACAAGTTTAGCAGAGTATGGAAAGACAGTAGCAGAGTGAAAATTGTGGTTGGTTTGTCCTCCAGCAGTCTAAGCCTATAGCAGCATAACTAAGGGACAGTTCAGGAAACCCAAGACGACACTAACTATAGGATTTAGCAAAAAGGAAAGTCTTAAGCCTAGTTTTAAAACTGGGCTTAAGACTTTACTTTTGGCTAAATTTGCTAAATCTAGTTTTAAAACTGGATAATGTGTCAGCCTCACGGACAGAGATTGGAAGATGGTTCCACAAGAGAGGAGCCTGATAGCTGAAAGATCTGCCTCCCATTCTGTTTTTTGTAAATTCTAGGAACCACAAGTAAACCTGCAGTCTGAAAGCGAAGTGCTCAGTTAGGAAAATATATAACAGTAGGATTTGTAATATAAGATGGAGCCAGGGTGTTGAGAGCTTTGTAGGTTAGAAGTAAGATTTTGAATTCTATTCTGGATTTGACAGGGAGCCAATGGAGAGAAGCTAAAACTGGAGAAATATGATCTCTCCTAATAACTCCAGTGAAGACTCTGGCAGCAGCATTTTGGATCAACTGAAGACGTTTTAAAGACGTATTTGGACATCCAGATAATAAACCATTGCAATAGTCCAGTCTAGACCTGACAAATGCATGGACCATTTTTTCTGCATCATTTTTAGATAAGATGCTTCTAATTTTCGCGATATTACGCAGATGGAAGAAGGCAGTTCCAGTAACGTTTTTAATGTGGGGGATAAAAGACATGTCCTGATCAAAAATAACACAAAGATTTTTAACATTAGAGCTGGAGGACAGATTAATGGCATCTAAGGAGGGAGAAAGACTGAAAAATGCATTCCTAAGGTGCTCAGGTCCAAAAACCAAAACCTCAGTTTTGTCTGTGTTCAACAGGAGAAAATTAAGGGTCATCCAGTTTTTTATGTGTTTAAGACATGATTGTAGTCTAAGTAGCTGATTGGATTCATTGGGTTTAATGGACAAATATAATTGTGTGTCATCAGCATAACAATGAAAATTTATCCCATGCTGTTTAATAACTACTTAATGGAAGCATATATAAAGTAAGGAGTATTGGCCCAAGCACTGAGCCCTGAGGAACTCCATGACTAACTTTGGTGTCTGAAGAAGATTTATTATTTACATTTACATACTGGAATCTATCAGATAGATATGATTTAAACCATTTTAGAGCCGTTCCTGTAATCTCAATATCATATTCAAGCCTCTGTAGTAAAATATTGTGATCAACCGTATCAAATGCAGCACTGAGGTCTAACAGGACCAGTATAGATACAAGTCCATTGTCTGAGGCCATGAGAATATCATTAGTTACTTTTACTAGTGCTGTTTCTGTGCTATAATAAGCTCTAAACCCTGACTGAAACTCTTCAAACAGATTATTTCTTTGTAGATGTTCACACAACTGACCTGCAACTATTTTCTCTAGAATTTTTGAGATGAAAGTTAGATTAGATATAGGTCTATAGTTGGCCAGAATTTCTGAATCAAGATCAGACTTCTTAAGTAAAGGTTTAATTACAGCAACCTTAAAGCACTGTGGTACATAACCATTCATTAAAGACAAGTTAAGTACATCCAAAATGAGGACATTAATTAGGAGAAATACCTCTTTAAACAGTCTGGTTGGGATGGGATCTAGCAGACATGTGGATGGTTTGGATGAGGTTATTATTTTTGACAATTCAGAGAGCTCAACAGGACAAAAACTTTCCAAACATAAATCAGGCTCTAGTGAAATTTTTAAAGTTGCCTCATTTGACAGGGGACTAGAGGCAGTAGAAGGAAGGATGGTTTGAATTTGCTCTCTAATTGAAATCATTTTATTTATAAAGAATCTCATGAAGTCATCACTACTTATATTTTGTAGGGATACATGGTTCAACAGAAATGGGACTTTTAATTAGTCTAGCAATAGTACTAAACAGAAACCTAGGGTTATTTTTATTCTTCTCTATGAAAGATGAGTAATATAAAGTTCTAGCTTTATGGAGAGCTTTTTTTACATGTTAGCAGACTATCTTTCCAAGTTAAATAAAATTCTTCAACATTAGTAAAGCACCATTTTCTCTCCTGGTTTCTAGATGCTTGCTTTAAAGTACGTAACTCAGAATTGAACCAAGGAGCCAGTTTCCTCTGACTGATTACTTTTTTTTCAGTGGAGCAATTTTATCAAGTGAAGTTTGCATTGAAGTTGTAAGATGATCAACTAGATGATCTAAGCCACTGTTCTCTGATGCATTACTCTGCAAGACAGAGGAAAACATTGATGGAAGAGATTGTTTAAATTTGGTTACAGCATTTTCTGATAAGCACCTGCTGAGATTAAATTTACTCTCAGTGACTGTGTAGTCATTTAATGTAAACTCAAAGGTTATTAAAAAATGGTCAGACAGAATAGGATTTGAGGAACTATTACCAAGTCCTTAATCTCTTTACCATAGGTCAGAACTAAATCAAGAGAGTGATGATAAGAATGAGTAGATGTGCAGACGTTTTGGGTAAAACCAAATGAGTCTATTAAATTATTAAAGGCTATGCTTAAGCTATCACTCCCAACATCCACATGAATATTGAAATCACCCCTTATGATGATTTTATCAGTATTTAATAGTATGTCAGTTAAGAATTCTGAGAATTCAGACAAAAACTGAGAGTAAGCGCCTGGTGGAAGACAGTGGTGGAGAAAGTACTCAAACACTGTACTTAAGTAAAAGTACAAATAAACAGACAAAAATGTACTCTTGTAAAAGTAGAAGTACCACATTAACATTTTTATTTAAGTAAAAGTAAATAAGTACTTGATTTTAATACATTAATAGTGTTGAGCCATTTTAATGAACAATGCTGCAGATAATGCAATAAGTTTTTATTTAACACAAAGCAAAACCCATGTGTCATTTTTAACTGCAGTAAACACATTTAAGTAAAAGTTGTCTGCCTGAAAAAAGGAACATTAGACACAACTAACAAAGGAATATCTCATCATTTCCACTGATATTTCAACTCCAGTTTGTCATCAACTCTACTTAAAATACTGTCTATTCAACCTTGTAATGGGTCAGTATTGAACAATATTTTAACTTTCTGACACCATTTTTAAAACTTGGACCTGAGTGTTGAGCCATTTGGAGACATCTCTTGTCTCCTTTCCTAACATCCCATGAACTGACACATTTTAATATTGCAGCAAGAATTTCTTGTTCAAGTTCAGAAGAAGTTGGTTTTCAAAGATTTTTGAGTCCAATCTGACTCTTTTGGGAGAGAGAATCTGTCCTGTTGTACTGAGCAGTCTTTCAATAAGACCATGGGTGGAGCATACCTTCTGGCTGACTCTCTTGCGGTGGAATACATTTTGGGTGTAGTGGTGCTGCTGGTGCACCCAGCTCAATGACACTAGAATATAATATGATAATATTATATGAATATGATACTAGAATATATGTTATTGGCCCAGCTCTTCTTGAAGGTGGGTCTAACGTTACCTGCCCACTTTGCAGTGATTCAATGGACCAGCTCCCCTCTCTGGTTACTTTCAAAGTAATTCAATTTAATTCAATTCAAAAATACTTTATTAATCCCAAAAGGAAATTATTTGTTGTTGTAACTCGTTATCCTCATTTCATTAAGAGATGTTATAGATGCTGATGGCTGTAGACAGGAAGGATCTCTTGTAAAGGTCCATCCCACAGTGGATCCTAAGAAACTGGCTGCAGATGCCGTCTGATCCTTCCACCCAGATTCGACTGGCCTCTCGGTTCCTCCGAGCTGTAGGACTGCCCGAATGCCGGGCAGAACTCCTCCCAGAGCAATAGCCACTCCTCCCAGCAGTCTGCTGAGCTCCTCGTCGCTGTGGACAGCCAATTGTAGGTGACGAGGGACGATCCTGTCCTTCAACTGTTATGAGCCGTGTTTCCTGCTAGTTCCAGGATCTCAGTGGTCAGACACTCGAGCACAGCTAGATGAGAATGTGTCCACAACTCGTTTGAAATTTGGGGCTGTAGTTGAGATATTATTTGAGCTTTTGAGATGTTAATCAGCTGCTGTTGGTTGTAGAAAACTGCCTTGTTGCCATGGTTACGCATCATAACAAATGTCCAAAACTAAAAAAGTTTCAGTAAAAATCTTTCCAGCTGCACAGCATCCAATACCAGAGGAAACAATCAGCCAAAAAATGTGATTTACATCCAGAAAAAGAGGAATTAAAGTTTCTAAAAGCAAAATCTCAGAATGAATGTAACAGAGCTGCTCCAACAGGCAGCCACCTTGAGC